GGGTCCAGGGGCGGCTGCACCAGGGGCGGCTGCTTCAGGGGCCAGGGGCGGTTGCTCTGGGTCCAGGGGCGGCTGCTCCAGGGGCGGCTGCTCCAGGGGCGGCGTAGCTGGTGCAGGGCAGCGCGCGGGTCCCACAGGCGCCGTGACGAGCGACGGGGGGCAGCGCGCCGTCACCGGAGGAGGCGACGCGCGGGGCCGGCGGCAGGCTGCGCGGGCGGCTGACGTAGCGCGCGGGGCCGAAAACGGGCTACGCAGGCGGCGGACGCGGCGTGCAGGGCCTAAGCGGGCTGCGCGCGGGCGGCTTACGCGACGCGCGGGCCGGCGGCAGGCTGCGCGGGCGGCTGATGTGGCGCGCAGGGCCGAAAACAGGCCTAAACGGGCCTAAACGGGCTGCGTGCGGGCTGCTTAAGCGGCGCGCGTGGGGAAAAAAAAGGGGCCGCGCGCGGGCAGCAGCCAAGGTAACTTGGTAACGGGTGGGCCCTAATCTTAGGTCCTAAAGACCTATTGCTCTAGATACAATCTTAGAACATGGGCATGGAAGGATGTGATTAGGTCAAGGTTGGGGTACAAAACTAGAGTGTCGAGAATGTTTCTGTACCCCCTAAGGCTAGCCCCAATATAGCCTAGATAATAATATGCATACTTTTTGACACAGTCGAGTGGCGCCACCCGCATATCAAGTACGTGCGGGGGACTTTCAAGCAGCGGGACTGGAAGATTCCAGTTTTGGTCGTCGTCGTCGGTGAAGTCGCGGCGCGGACTGAACGGGCTGTTGTTGGTGAACGCGCCAATGGGGTGCGGTGCTGGCTCAGGTGAGGGTGAGCGCACGCGGCGACGACGCGACTCGCCTGTCATGGCCCTGTTGCTCATGACATTGCGTACTGGGGCAGTCGATGACGGCTCCTGCTGCTTATGCTGAACCGCTGGGTTCAGGTTGCGCGCGGATGGGGGTTGATACCCCTGGGCTTGACGCACGTCGCCTCGTGCGTCTTGTCGGCCGGACCAGTTGCTCGGATTGGTCTGGCGAGGGCGAGATCGGAATTTACATCGATCCGCTAGGTGCCCAAAATTTCTGCAATTTTTGCAGTAGAGGTGCTGCGGCCTTCGCTCTTCGTTGTTGTCGGCGTAGAAGGCGAGCCGTTCTCGTTCTCGTCGTGGCGCTGGTCGCTGCTGATCCATATCCCTTTGTTCGACGAGAAGGGCGGTGCAAAGGGCGGCCTCCGAGATGACCTCCTGTTGTCAGAGAAGCGCCTTGCAGGGCCGCCACTCTGGGCCGAGCCCTTGAAGCACGATATTTACGAAAATTTCCTCAGGGATCGTGCTCCCAAGTTTCGCGATTTGATCGCGTAAGCTCGGACAGCGATTGATGTAGCTGTTGGCCTTCTCCCCTGGGGCCATTTTGGTTTCCAGTGTGAAGATAGCGAGTAGAAAGTTTAGGAGAAGAAAGAGTGGTTGCACTAGCAAGCAGTTGAGTACATATAGGAAACCCTAAATTGGGCTGTACTCGCTATGGAGTACCCCACTGCAGGCTAGACAAATACAACATTCTGACACACCCCCATAGCCAAGGTGGGGTGTAATCAGCACAACAAGCAGGAGTTTATAGTTCACAAATATAAGCAAAGCAAGAGGCTATCACAGAGGGCAAGTGAGGAGGAGGAGAGACTGTGGGGGAGAGAAGATGGTGGGCGGCAGCTGAAGCTGCTGGCACACGGCGCAACTGGAGCAACTGGCACACGGGCAACTGGAGCAACTGGCACACTGGCAACTGGAGCAACTGGCACACGGGCAACTGGAGTAACGGGCTCCGCGGCTAGACGAGCGGCAGGAGCAACTGACCCACTGGCGACTGGAGCAACGGGCTCACGGGCGACTAGAGCGACGGGCTCACGGGCGACTGGTACAACGGTCTCACGGGCGACTGGAGCTGCTGGCTTCACGGCGGCCACCCCCTTCAACTTCCCCTAACAGTCCCACACCCCCTTCTCACACACCCCTTGCTGCACCCCTTGCTTCACTCCCACGACACCCCCCTTAAACCCTAAACCCTAGGCTCCCACACACCCACCCCCCTCAGCGGCAGCTGCAGCAGGGGGAGACTAGGGAGGAGGAGGAGCAAGGGGAGTAACGCACAACCGACACCCCCACAACCGCCACCCTCACACTCCTCACCCCCAAACCCTAAAACGGGTGGGATAGGGGCAGGAGCGCGGGGGACGGCGAGGGGGGGACGGCTCGCGACCCCCAGGGCGCCAAAACGGACGGGCGGGACGGGGGGAGGGGGGTGGCGCACGCGGCTCCCCAGGGCGCCGCGACGGACGGGCGGGGGGGGCGCGCGCGCGGCTCCCCAGGGCGCCGCGACGGACGGGCGGGGCGCGCGCGGGCTCCCCAGGGCGTCGCGACGAACGGGCGGGGGCCGCGCGTGCTCCCCAGGGCGCCGCGACGAGCAGGGTGGGGGCCGCGCGTGCTCCCCAAGGCGCCGCGACGGACGGGCGGGGCGCTCGCGGGCTCCCCAGGGCGCCGCGACGAACAGGCGGGGCGCGCGCGGGCTCCCCAGGGCAGGAAACCGCCGCGCACCTCGGGGCGCACGGCGGGCAGAAAACCGCCGCGCGCCCCGAGCGCACGGCGGACAGAAAACCCTAAAAAAAATTCGCACGCCACGGGGCGTGCAACAGATAGAGTAGCAGCGGAAGCAGTTAGGTGGGCCCACAGGCCAAGGAAAGACAGGCTCTGATAGCATGTGAAGATAGCGAGTAGAAAGTTTAGGAGAAGAAAGAGTGGTTGCACTAGCAAGCAGTTGAGTACATATAGGAAACCCTAAATTGGGCTGTACTCGCTATAGAGTACCCCACTGCATGCTAGACAAATACAACATTCTGACATCCAGTAGCTGCTGGAGCAGCCGGCTCGAAGAGACTGAGTCCTTCAGCTGATATACGCCGTTGAGATGGCGCCAAGCGTCGAGGGCTGGAGCGGCTGATGTCTTTTATGAGCGAATGCTCAATTGCTCCGCCGGCTACATGTTCCGCAGGAGCACCCCGTACGCCATCAGGGATTCGTTGTAGTATCTTTCCTTGGCGTCGTCGGTGTCCTCGGCAGGCTACGTGTAACTCCCATCGAAATAATGAAAGATTTGGGCGTTCTGCAGCAGGAGTTCCAGTTCGAAGGTCCAGGTATAAAAATCTTTGCCGTCAAAGCAGGTACTTGTCTTTATTTTTGATATGCTGAGAAACCTTGATTGCGCAGAGAGAATTGCCTCTTCACTGGGACGGGGAGTCTTGGGAGTTGAACCATTTGTGTCGAGGGAGAATGTGTGTGGGGCGGCGTTCTGGCCGGTTGGGGCTGGTTGAGAAGGTTGCGAGGATGTTCCCGCGTCGCCGTTCCGCAATGTTTGGAGCCCTTGCTCCAAGCTGGTGAGTCGCTGAAGCAGTTGTGCGAGGACTTTGGTTCCGATCGTCGTCGTTCCCTCGCTTGTCGCAGCCGGATTGGGTTGCGCTTCAGCCGTCAGATTCGTCTGACCGCCAGATCCTCCGGCCATTCTTACACGCGAGCGTGTGCCGGTCGCCACTTTCCGAATGTCGTAATTTTCGGGAGTGGCAGTGCGAAAGATTCCTGAGTCGCTTGTCAGAATGTTATAATTGTCTAGCCTGCAGTGGGGTACTCTATAGCGAGTACAACCCAATCATTCCTTCCTCAGATTCTTCACATCGCTCTCATACCATGTTGCGATCAGAAGTTGATCGTTCTCATGATCACCTCAGGAAGGTTCGCACACTACTGATTTGGTGGTGGTGGGCCCTTGACCTCAATAGCAGAGTGAATGTAAATGCTTGAGATGATGAAAACATGCAAATACAAGGATATAAATATGAGTACAGGGAAGATGAATCGACCTAGCTAGCCACGTACTCTAAGGGGTACATTCCCTTATTCAAATTCGTTCCCAACCGTGCGGCGCGTACAGTTACGAAACTGTTCCCGCCAGAACCCTCCTGCCTGCAGCTGCCGATGCCGTCTGCTTCCGACGATCCAGATGCATCCCAACCGTCTGACGTTTCGAGTCAACTTTGACTCTTCACATTCATTCTCGATACTGCGTGCTTCTTTAGCTGCGGTCGGGAGTGCACTGTAACCTTCATTCATTACTATTCGCAACACATTCTAAACTTGATCTGTGGACGCACTACATGTCAAGGATTGTATTTGTGCAATATGGGACTCATGCAACCAAACGCGAAGTGGCCCCTGGGGTCTACTTAGTCAGCGAAATGTGTTTGAGATTGGCGAGAAGTTGGGCGAAACCAAAGCCCTCAACCCACCCAACACCTCGACTAGCCAACCCTGCTCCCTCACCTCCCAACATGCAACTTTAGTAAAGTTGTACAATTTGGGCCGCGAGCTTTAAACTCCTGGTATCAAAGTTGTCATTGTATTCTGTTTGGTTGCACATTGCTTCTAAGTACCAAGCAAAGTACAGCAAAGTTGTTTGTAGAAGGGCACACGCGCTATGAAACAACTAACATTACACCTGCATCGAGAAGCACCTGCGGTGTTCATGGACCCGGTTCAGGTGAGTTCTGTGCGCTGGCTGGTTAAGCCTTCCTGGAATGGCACATGCGCTTCGTCGTCTACAGCATCAGGTGCGGAAAGTAACCTGATACATCCTGAACCAGCTTAAATCTGGGAAAGACGGAGCGCTTGTTTCAGATTGAATGAACAGTCAGGAAAGTTTGTCCTGAGCCAAACCTGGCTTCAACCTACCTATGGCACTCCTCCTACCACATCGTCGCGACTCGCAACAATCTTCCATCTCCGGAAACCCTCGAGTTTAACAGCTGAGCCAACCGACCCCATCTGCAAGGCACAAATAGGAGTGCTCGCGTCATTTTAAACAAAAACTTCAGTCAAGGAGAACGCGCAACTTCACATACCTCATCAGATCAATCGTGTAAACCAGCAAAAGTTGGTCGCCGGTTGGATTCCTAGACCTAGTGATCACAATGGCGCGTCTACTTTTCGTCGCAACGTTCGCCGTGCTGCTGGCCGTGGCGTCCGCAGGACAAACCGTGGTGACCGGACCCAACAACCCGGCGGTGAACCTGGACAAGGCCAAGGGCGGGAATGGCGTGGCAACCGAGGTCCCTCCTGGTATCGAGAAGGCGGCGGCCGCCGGCGGGCTGGACAAGTTCGAGGGGACGACGATCGTGAGCCCGAGCACAGACAGTATTCTGATGGTGGACGTGAAGGTTGCGGGATGGAACAAAATGAAGTGCCACAAGGACCTGGGCAAGCCCGGGGAGGGCGCGTGCACGCCGGCCAACTGCAGCAAGGGCGGCATCGCCGCCAAGTGGAAGACGTCGAACCTGCTGAAGAACAAGCTGGGCGTGGAGGTGTACGTGAAGGGCAACCCGCTGACGCTGAAGAAGGCGTCCCCGCAGACGTGCTGCAACACGTGCGCGGGGTACAGCAGCTGCACGTACTGGCAGTACATCCCCGACATCACGATCGACGGCAAGAAGACGGAGGGCGCGTGCTACCTGGTGCACGACAGCATCGACTACTCGTGCGGCGACATGACGGCGCAGTACGCGACGGACTCGAAGCCGGTTCATCTGCAGGTGCGCACGGGCGGCGAGTGCAACCCCGCGGCAAACGTGGTGAACGACCCGCATCTGGTGGGTGCGTATGGCACGCACTTCGACTTCAACGGGCGCCCCGACAAGGCTTTCTGCCTGCTGACGGACAAGGACCTGCACGTGAACATGCTGCTGCGCGGGTTCTACTCGGACGACACGGAGAACGCGGCGCTCGTGGTGGACGGCAAGGCCGTGCACACGTGGATCAAGGAGCTAGGCATTGTGTGGTTCGCCAACGGTGCCGACCACAAGGTGCGGCTGGCGGCCCGCTCCGGCAAGCAGCAGGAGCGCGGCGACGGCTTCATGAAGACGATCGAGATTGACGGCGAGGAGATCCCGAGGATGCACGTGGGCGACGAGGTGACGACCGAGGGCGGGCTGACTCTGCGATTCGCGGCGCCGGAGAAGGAGGGCCCGTATGACGTGGACTACTACACGCTCGCGATCGACGGGCTCGTGGCGCTCGACCTGCGCCTGCGCGTGGCCAACCCCAAGCTGCAGACGCCCAGCGAGGCCGAGGCGCACATCAACATGGGGATTGTGGAGCTGGAGCACACCGACGACGTGCACGGCGTGCTCGGCCAGACGTACCGCCCCGACCACGCTGCTCGCGCCGCCGACTTCCAGCGCCTGATTGCCAACCTGCACCGTCCGATCTCAGCCGACAGCCAGGAGGGCGCTGGGTTCCTTGACGGCACTCCCCGGCTATACGAGTCGAGCTCCGTGCTGTCCGTGGACTGCGCGCAAACCGAGTACCACCGCGCCAAGCAGCTCAGCCCCGTCGAGGACTTCCCCATTGAGCCCCTCAACTAGATTCAACACTCTCAATTTGGGTGGGCTATGATCCTGATCGACATGCTCGGTCATTTCCTTGGTTGGCTGCGATTTGGTGGGCTGCGAACATAGCTTAATTGTATTGTAGGTTTTTCTTCCCCCAAGATATACGATTTCTTTTGATAATATATTTACAATCTGTAACCCGATGTCTGGTAGCAATCTACTGATCCCGGAACGCATAATTGCGATTTAAGTTGCTCCTAGTCTCCACCCGTTCCGCTGCTGTCATGGTGGCCAAACTGACAGCTGGTACGGCGCCGCAGAATCTTGCGAGGTTGCATTGCGAGTGGCGTCGAGAAACTCAGCTAACTGATGGGGATAGCGTAGGTGGGGATTCATCGGTGGGATAGCGTAGGTGCGACCTGATGGGGATTTATCGGTGGGAAGGAAACTGGTGGAGGTTGATTTTTTTTTTTCAAGGACTTCGATTGGAAAGAATTGCGGGGCGCGGAACGAATTGGAATGACGGGGAGGCGGAAATGAAATTGTAAGTGGGGATGGGGAGACGAAATTGCGGAGAGGGGGTGCAGAGCGAATTATATTCTACTGTAACCACATTGCGAATGATAACTCCTGCGTCGTTTTTTCCCTCTCGCAATAGTGTACCACATTTTACTGTACAGTAGCTTCAAATGTGGGCCACATTTCGTCCAAGGGCTCACAATGGCCTACCGAACCTTTAAACCTTGGGATTGTGCCAAACCAATCAGGGTCACGTGGCTACCTGCTGGATGAATCCGCACTCGGAAATCGACGATTCAGAGCGCTTCTTAAAGCTCGCGTCTCTAATTTCCAACCGTTTAACACTTGGTTGGGTTTGCAAGGTTTGATTGGGTAACGAAAGTCGAAATATTTGACGAGTGGGCGAAAAAAACACAGCGAACTCCAAAAGATCGAGGCCAAAACAAACCAGGGTGGGTTGGTTTGGGGGGAAACCGAGGCAAGGGTGACAGGTTTGGTCCTGGGTTCTGTCAACGTTCAGTTCAGTCTCATATTTTTGGGAGTTGTAAACACTTGGTGTGCACGGGGAAGTGTGCGACAGCCAACTTTCCCAACCACCCCTTGCTTTGGTGTGCTTCGCGACAAACTCTGCTGTTACCGGATTCCAACCGTTTAACACTTGGTTGGATGGCAGAAATATGAGACGCGAGCTTTAAAGCGACGGGCAACTTTTGGCAGTGTTGGGTTCAGAAGTTTTTTTTTTTTTAACCAGGCTTGCCAGCGCGAAAGTGCTGGCTGGCGAAAACCAGGATTTCGTGCGGACACTTTCCATCCGCAGTAACAGTTCGCCAGGGTTCTGGGTTTTGGGTGGCAAATGTGCACCGTCGCTTTAATCGGTTCGTGAATCTGGTCACTTTCACAGGTTGATTTTACAGAACACGCAGCTTTTTCGCCTTGCGAATTCACTTCTCAACCAGGATTCCCTTACCCGCTCGCTTGTCTCCGCATCTCGCGGCGGAGATTTCAGGTGCTTCGAGAGGAACTACTGGCGCAGACAGGCAGTTCCTGCATCAGGCCCACTTCCGCCCAACGGACGTCGCATGCTGCGAGCAGCCGTAGCCGCAGCAGCGTCAGCATCAGCATCAGCAAAAACATTAACTCCATTCGTCTTCATCGCGCGTCCGTCGCTAACCCGCATCGCCTCGTCCACAATGTTGAGCCACACCGCCATTTCCGCTTCCTCGCTCACCCTAGCTCTCGGCCAGGCCACCCCGCTTCACCCTTCCTCCACCGCTCTTCACGGTTCCGCCATGCCCATAGCATCATCGCATGTATCTAAAACATTTCTTAGCGTAACCGCCAGTACGCGTAATAGTCCATCCTCCGGCTCAGTTGTGATTCCAATTGGACGTCGCTCCGAAAGTCTAACGACAACCCCGTCCGTCTCCTTCGCCGCATCACCCGCCGCGTTTCCCGGTAGCGAATCTCGCCGTCGATTCCTCACCTGCTCTGCGCGCGCACGAAAAAGCGGCGCTGACGAAGTTTCCGCCGAACCCTCTGCTCCTTCCGCCGATGCAAAAGCAGCTCCAGACGGGGAAATTTTAGCGGAGAATAAGGCAGCGGAGGATACGGGGAAGAAGGCGGAAGATGCGGGGAAGAAAGCGGAGGATGCGAGCAAGAAGGCGCAGAAGCGGGGGAAGGAGCTGGAGAAGCGCTTGCGCCGGCTGCGGGAAGTGATGGCGGAAGTGGATGGGGGAAAGGGCGTCAACGCGTTTATCATTCCGTCCGAAGACCCGCACCAGGTTGCTTTCCTGGAACCTACGCCATTTAGGCTTTAAACAGATTACGATGGGTGACTCGCGATATACGTTATATATCAGGTTGCTTCAGTAAGCGCTCAAGCTCTTGCATTACAGGTTCCCTCTCACGGACGTTTTGCCATCTGCAGTAGCGGCATCACCAGGCACGGCGACGGTAACCAGGGATTGCATTACTATTTTTGAGGCGCCTCGAAAACCAGGCAAACCAGGGATTGCGTTACTATCACATTCATTCTTTCCTCTCCTTCTGTCCTTCCCCACGGGTAACTCTACCTTCCCCCCCCCTCTCTCTCCCCCCTACTTTCCCCCCTCCCCCCACTTTCCCCACCTTCCCCCACCAGAGCGAGTACATGGCGCCGTGCTTCGAGCGCCGCGCGTTCATCTCGGGTTTCACGGGCTCCGCGGGCACGGCGGTGGTCACGCGCGAGCGCGCGCTGCTGTGGACGGACGGGCGCTACTTCCTGCAGGCGGAGCAGCAGCTTCCGCCGGGCTGGGACCTCATGCGCGCGGGCATGCCCGGCGTGCCCTCTGTTGCGGACTGGCTGGCGGAAGCGCTCCCCGCGGGCAGCAGAGTGGGGGTGGACCCGGTAATCACAAGGGGGTGGGCTTGGTGGAAAGGAAGGTGGCAAGGGTGGGGGTAGGTTTGTAGTGTTGGAAGTCATAGGGCCGGTTGCCCGGCGTGCCCTCTGTTGCGGACTGGCTGGCGGAAGCGCTCCCCGCGGGCAGCTGAGTGGGCGTTGACCCGGTAATCACAAGGGGGATGGGCCTTAGGGCGCGTGTCTTTTGGTGTAGAAGTTCGAAAAAAAGGTCGAACTTTTTTTGGTAACCAGCTTCGCCAATTTCGTACAGAGCTATTGACGACGAACGTGTGTCCAAGCTCAAAGTTGCTGAAACAGAGGACACTGAACTAGGGTCGACCTCGCATTCGACTATCCCCGAGCACGTTTCTCCAATCGTGTGTTCTTCTGCCCACGCACGAAGAAGCTGCGAGATTCGCGATGGTTACGAACCACGTCGCGCCAGGTTACCAGAGTTGAAAGTGCTAACGAACTTAGCTGTATAGACAGGGTAACCTACGAAACTTGGCGCGACTCGGATTTTACTGTACAAATTCGACCTTTGAAAGTCGAGCATTTCTTGTGCCATGTGCTCCAGGTCAAGGTGAACACGCGACTCGACAATGAAATGACGAGATAGTCGACTACAGGTCGACCTGTGTTCAATTGCAAAAATTCGACTAAAAACCATGAACTTTGGCCTAAATTTCAAAAGACACGCGCCCTTAAGGAATGGAGGGTGGCATGAATAGGGGTAAGAGGCGGTAATGATTTGGGGAGATGCCTGGCGTGCCCTTCGTGGCGGGCTGGCTGATGGAAACGCTGCCTGGGGGAAGCCGAGTGAGGGTTGACCCAGTGATTGCCAAGGGGATGGGCTTGGGGAATGGAGGGTAGCAAGGATGGGGGATTAGAGTCGGTAGTCGTGGGAGGGGGTATGCCTGGCGTGCCCTCCGTCGTGGACTGGCTGGCGGAAGCACTCTCTGCGGGCAGCAGAGTGGGGTTGACCTTGTAAATAATACGGAGAATGGGAAAAAGGGGGCGGTGGGCTTGGGGAAAGGAGGGTGGCAAGGGCGGAGCGGCGGTAGAGTTGGTCGTGATACAGGTGGGGAGGGGTTGCCTGGCGTGGCGTGCCCTCCGTCGCGGACTGGCTGGCGGAAACTTAGCCCGTGGGGAGCAGAGTGGGGGTTGACCTGGTAAAGCGAGCGGGTGGTGGGGAGGGGGGTGAAGGAGGGCAGGGGAAAGGGGGGTGGCGCAGATGGAGGCAGAGTCGGTAGCAATAGGGGGGAGGTTGAAAGTGCAGCAGCATGGGGTGTTCACATGCTGGTCGATGTTGTTGTGGAGATGGAACAGATGGGAGATATAGTCAGTGGGAATGGGGGAGGTGCCTGGAGTTTGTGCCTTGCCTTGGCCCAACAACTCTTGTGCTGTCGAGTTGCGACAGCCTCTTGAATCAAGCGCCCTTCTTTCTCCTTTTTCCCCCTCCCTCTCTCCCCCACCCCAGTTTGTGCACTCGGCGGACAACGTGAGGGGCCTGGCGGACACGCTGGCAGCTTCCTTGTCCTTTGAGCAGCCTTGCCTTATGAATCACCTCCCATTATCCCGCCACCCTCAACACCCGTCACCCCCACCATCCCGCCGCCTCCAGTTTGTGCATTCGGCCGACAATGTGAGGGGCCTGGCGGACACGCTGGCAGCGTGCGTATGTGTTCATCCTTCCCCCTCTTCTTTCAATCCCCCCTCCCTCTTTCGTTGCCGCCTCCAGTTTGTGCATTCGGCTGACAACGTAAGAGGCCTGGCGGACACGCTGGCAGCGTCCTCATCCGTGGTGGTGCCGCTGCTGCGCGAGAGCAACCCTGTTGACGTTGTTTGGGGCGCCGAGGTCAGTGGGGAGAGGGGGAGGGCAGTGTGGGGGGGCAGGAGGGCCACTGTGGGGGTTAGCTTATCTCACTTCTGCGCGAGAGCAACCCTGTTGACGTTGTTTGGGGCGCGTAGGTCAGTGGGGAGAGGGGGAGGGAGGGCCAGTGGGGGCCGCAGAGGTGGGTTTGCTGGGGAGGTGGGGGCGAGGGGTTAGATCATCCCGCTGCTGCGCGAGAGCAACCCTGTTGACGCCGTGTGGGGCGCGGAGGTCAGTGGGGGTGAGGGGGAGGGCGGTCAGAGGTTGGGTGTGTGGGGAGAGGGGTTGGATCAATTTAGACAGTCCATTATCGCACAAATGGTGTAGTCCAGCTTCTCTGGGGGTTGATATTGCGTGCGTGTGTGTGTGTGTGTGTGTGTGTGTGTGTGTGTGTGTGTGTGATTGTGTGTGTGTGTGTGATTGTGTGTGTGTGTGGGGAAAGGGGGGGCGGGGGGGGGGGGGGGGGTGGGTGTGTGTGTGTGTGTGTGTGTGTGTGTGCAAGAGTGGAAGCACCTGCATTTTAGCTTTTCCACCTCTCACCTTTCCGCATTCTCTTGCCTACGCTCCCCTCCCCCCTCTCTCCCTTTCTCCAATCCTCTCCCCACCAGCCCCCGCCGCCCCCATAAGCACCACTAAGGTTCACCGAATGGAGTTTGCGGAGCAGACACTGAGGGCGAAGCTGCACTGCAGCAGCTGAGGGCGGAGATGAGGAACGCCCATTGACAAGTCTCAAGCTAAACAGTCTCCTTGCCTGCACTCCCTGTCCCGCCCCTGCTCTTCCCCTCAGCGCCCCCCGGCCCCCTCGGCCCCCATGAGGGTGCACCCGATCGAGTTCGCAGGGCAGACAGCGAGGGCGAAGCTGCAGCAGCTGCGGGCGGAGATGAGGGATGCTTTTCCACATGCCTCAAAGTCTCCTCGTACTCTCCCCCCACTTTCGTGCCTCCCACCAGCGCCCTGCGCCCCCATCAGCGCCCATGAGGGTGCACCCGATCGAGTTCGCGGGGCAGACGGTGAGGGCGAAGCTGCAGCAGCTGCGGGCGGAGATGAGAGACGCCGGTGCCACGGCGCTGCTGGTGTCTGCTCTGGATGAGGTGGCATGGCTGCTCAACGTGGTGAGTGCTGCACTGGTTTGGCTGGCATGACCAGTGTTCAGTTGATGCTAACCCAGTTGACCAGTAAAATATATTTCACCTATGTGCTGGGGCCACGGCGCTGCTGGTGTCCGCTCTGGATGAGGTGGCATGGCTGCTCAACGTGGTGAGTGAATGGTCAACGTTGTGAGTGAATGGTCAACATGGTGAGTGAATGGTCAACGTGGTGAGGGAATGGTCAACGTGGTGAGTGAATGGTCAACGTGGTGAGGGAATGGTCAACGTGTTGAGGGAATGGTCAACGTGGTGAGTGAATGGTCAACGTGGTGAGTGAATGGTCAACGTGGTGAGTGAATGGTCAATGTGGTGGGGGAATGGTCAACATGTTGAGGGAATGGTCAACGTGGTGAGTGAATGGTCAACGTGGTGAGTGAATGGTCAACGTGGTGAGGGAATGGTCAACGTGTTGAAGGAATGGTCAACGTGGTGAGGGAATGGTCAACGTGGTGAGTGAATGGTCAACGTGGTGAGGGAATGGTCAACATGGTGAGGGAATGGTCAACGTGTTGAGGGAATGGTCAACGTGGTGAGTGAATGGTCAACGTGGTGAGTGAATGGTCAACGTGGTGAGGGAATGGTCAACGTGTTGAGGGAATGGTCAACGTGGTGAGTGAATGGTCAACGTGGTGAGGGAATGGTCAACGTGGTGAGTGAATGGTCAACGTGGTGAGGGAATGGTCAACGTGGTGAGTGAATGGTCAACGTGGTGAGTGCTGCACTGGTTTACGTCGCGTGGCGGGCAAGGTCGCAGTCCCTCTCCCTCTCCCCGTCCCCCTCCCCAACCACGTTCTGCCCCTCTTTCCCCCATCAGAGGGGAGCGGACGTGCCGCACTGTGCAGTCACAGTGGCGTACGCGGTGGTGGGGGCGGAAGCAGCGCACCTCTTTGTGCCGAGCTGGTTTTTGAGAATTCTCAGAAACACTGCCCCTCTCCCTCTCCCCCTCCAACCCACGCTCAACAGCGCGGGGCAGATGTGCCGCACTGCCCAGTGACAGTGGCATATGCAGTGGTGGAGGCGGAAGCAGCACACCTCTTTGTGGACCCCAGCAAGGTGGCAGCTCCTGCTGTCGCAGAGCACCTGGCAGCAGCGGGCGTGTCTGTCAAGCCATATGGCGACCTCGTGCCCTTCCTCCAAAGGTACGTGCGTTTTCCGTCCACCTGCAGAGGGGGCACACCTCTTTGTGGATCCCAGCAAGGTGGCAGCCCCTGCAGTGGGGGAGCATCTGGCAGCAGCAGGCGTGTCTGTCAAGCCGTATGGCGACCTCGTGCCCTTCCTCCAGCGGTACGTGCGTTCGCCTGCCTTACGTGCGTGCATTCTTCAGTTGACTCATAAAGTCAGCAGGCGTCTCTTTCGAACCCCACCTCTTTACTTCGTGCCTCTTCAGAGGTATTTTGTTCCCTACTGCCAGTCTGCCAGTCTGCCAGGCTGCCCCCACGGAGGTGCCACCGTGCCACGGCTTTGGCCCATTTCACTGCTGCCTGCAGCAGCCCAGTGTTGTGCTGCGACGCGTTTCTGGAATTTCAGAATTAGTTTAAAAAGCCCAGTGGTGCGCTGCTCTGCGAGTAGTTTGAATCGACTCAGAAGTCACCTCGTTTAGAGTCGAATTATGAGTCGACTCAGCACCGCCCTGTGCTACAAGCAGCATGCATTCATGAAGACTCCTTCACTTCTCCTTAGCACGACCCACTTCTCTAGCCCCCTTTTCCCATCTCTCTCCCTTCTCTCTCCTCTATCTCTTCTTCTCCCTTCTCCTTTCTCCCCCCTCCACTCCCCCCTCCGCCCTCCGCCTCCGCCCTCCCCCTTGGCAGATCTGCCATGGAGGGGGCTCGCCTGTGGCTGGACTTTTCCTCTGCCTCCTCTGCAGTGCTCTGCTCTGTTGAAGCCGCCTGCGCTCCCTCCCTCTCCCACCTCTCCATCCTTTTTCGTTTTCTCACTACCCACCTTCCATCAGGTCTGCCATGGACGGAGCTCGCCTCTGGCTCGACCCTGCCTCCGCCTCCTCTGCAGTGCTCTGCTCTGTTGAAGCCGCCTGCGCTCAGTTCTACGAGCAGAGAGCCTCAGGGAAGGGGGGATTCGGGGGAAAGAAGGGGAAGAAGGGCGAGAAGGGGGAGAAGAAGAGCAAGGAGGGGAAGGGGGGGAAGGGGAGGGAGGAGCGAGGGGGAGCAGGCGGGGAGGAAGTGGAAGGGCCGGCAGTGCTCAGCCGAACCACTCCAATCTCTCTGGCCAAGGCACTCAAGAACGAATCTGAGATCGAGGGGATGAAGAACGCCCACATCAGGTGAGTGGGGTCTTCTACTTGTTTGAAAAAAGGGAACAGGGTGGATAGGGCGGGGAACCGTGGCAGTGGAAGGCCCAGCAGTGCTGAGGCGCACCACCCCGGTGGTTTCTGTGGCGAAGGCGCTGAAGAACGAATCTGAGATTGAGGGGATGAAGAACGCCCACTTCCGGTGAGTGGGGTCTTCCACTTGTTTGAAAAAAGGGAACAGGGTGGATAGGGCGGGGAACCGTGGCAGTGGAAGGCCCAGCAGTGCTGAGGCGCACCACCCCGGTGGTTTCTGTGGCGAAGGCGCTGAAGAACGAATCTGAGATTGAGGGGATGAAGAACGCCCACTTCCGGTGAGTGGGGTCTTCCACTTGTTTGAAAAAAGGGAACAGGGTGGATAGGGCGGGGAACCGTGGCAGTGGAAGGCCCAGCAGTGCTGAGGCGCACCACCCCGGTGGTTTCTGTGGCGAAGGCGCTGAAGAACGAATCTGAGATTGAGGGGATGAAGAACGCCCACTTCCGGTGAGTGGGGTCTTCCACTTGTTTGAAAAAAGGGAACAGGGTGGATAGGGCGGGGAACTGTGGCAGTGGAAGGCCCAGCAGTGCTGAGGCGCACCACCCCGGTGGTTTCTGTGGCGAAGGCGCTGAAGAACGAATCTGAGATTGAGGGGATGAAGAATGCCCACTTCCGGTGAGAGAGACTTTTACTTGACTTGGAAAATCGGTAAGGGGTTGGAGGACGGGAGGGAGCGGTGGCAGCGGAAGGCCCTTCAGTGCTGAGTCGCACTACCCTAATCTCTCTGGCCAAGGCGCTGAAGAATGAATCTGAGATCGAAGGGATGAAGAACGTGCACATTCACTGAGGGAATGTTCGAATAAGAAGGATGGGGGTGGGCGTGATTCGGTATTTCCTCTTTCTCAATTACCCTTACTGAAATGTATCTCTTTCTCAATTACCCTTACTGAAATGTATCTCTTTTTCAGAACCAGTTCTCCCAGGGATGCGGTGGCAATGGCGTGCCTCTGGGATTGGGCGGAGAGGGTGGTGGGGGAGGAGGGGAGGACCCATTAAGGGGAGGACCCATTAAGACAAGTGATTCCTGTTTCGTTTCCCCTTTTTTCCCTCTTCAACGAATCATATACCTGCACTCGTTCTCCCAGGGACGCGGTGGCAATGGCACATTTCTGGGAGTGGGCGGAGAGGGCGGTGGTGGAGGAGGGGAGGGCAGTGACAGAGGTGGAGCTGGGGGAGAGGCTAGAGGCGTTCCGCGCACAGCAGGAGGGGTTCCTTGACACCAGCTTTGATACCATCGCAGGTGCGTTGTCAGCTGGCTGTATGGTGCTTGATGAGATTGGGTGCAGAGGAGTGGTGGTAGGCGCACAGCGGTGGCGGAGGAGGGGAAGGGATGTGATGGGGGTGGAGCTGGGGGAGAAGCTAGAGGCGTTCCGCGCACAGCAGGAGGGGTTCCTGGACACCAGCTTGGATACCATTGCAGGTGAGGTGTCCTCTTGATAGTTTCTTAGGTGCTAGACAGAAAGATGAGCAAGAAAATATCCTGTTGATGCTTCTCAACACCAGCTTTGACAGCATTGCAGGTGAGGGTATCCACTAGTGCTTGAAAATACTCGGTGCAGTGCACTAGTGCACATCAGTGGCTTTTTTTGTTGACTCAGAGAACAGCAGTGCTGGTTTTGGATGGTTCCTGCATGGCACGGCATGGCATGGCATGGTATGGCATGGCATGGCATGGCATGGCATGGCATGGCATGGCATGGCATGGCATGAACTGCTGGTTTCAAGCATGGCAAAACTCTGAGAAGCTCATGGAAATTCTTGTCAACCTCTCCGAGCCTGGCGTGCAGGTTCGGGCAAGAACGGGGCGATCATTCACTACCGAGCCGAGGAGGACAACTGTGCGGTGGTGGATCCTTCCAAGATGCTTCTGCTGGACAGCGGAGCACAGTACATGGATGGCACAACAGACATCACGCGCACTGTTCACTTTGGGACCCCTTCGGACTATGAGAAGGAGTGCTACACACGCGTGCTGCAGGTGAGGAAAGAGTGCTGTCGGGTGGTAAGCAGTGCTGTCAGGTGAGAAGGAGTGCTGCCCGGTTTTGCCCTGGACATTGTAGTCCGGGGAGGCATGGGGCAGCAAGGCCCCCTCCTCCCCTCCTCCTTCCCTCCCCTCCCCCTCCGCTCCCCTCACAGGGCCACATAGTGCTGGACCGTGCAGTGTTCCCCCAGGGCACGCCCGGGTTCACCCTCGATATTCTCGCCCGAAGCCCGCTGTGGGGCATGGGGCTGGACTACCGGCACGGCACAGGGCACGGCGTGGGCGCTGGTCTCAACGTGCACGAGGGGCCGCAGAGCAGTAGAGAAGCACAGAAGCAGTGCAGCGTTCCTGATCCCCTCTCCTCCCGTTTCCCGCTCCCCATTCCCAACTCTCCAGGGCCACATTTCGTTAGATTGCGCGGTGTTCCCCCAGGGCACGCCCGGGTTCGCCCTGGACATTCTCGCCCGAAGCCCGCTGTGGGGCATGGGGCTGGACTACCGGCACGGCACAGGGCACGGCGTGGGCGCTGGTCTCAACGTGCACGAGGGGCCGCAGAGCATCAGCCCTCGCTTTGGCAACCCGACTCCTCTGCAGGCCGGCATGGTTGTTAGCAATGAGCCGGGGTTCTACCACGACAACCAGTTCGGGATTAGGATTGAGGTGAGGGGGAGGCAGGGTTGGAGAGGTAACCAAAGGCCCATGTGAGGGGGTAAATTCGTGGTACTGGCAGGCCGGCATGGTTGTGAGCAACGAGCCGGGGTTCTACCACGATAACCAGTTCGGGATCCGAATCGAGGTGAGGGGGGCAAGAGGATGTGGGGGTGGGGGGTTGAGGGGTTGAGAGACCATGTGTGTAAGCAGAGGGTAGGTGGGTACGCACGTGTTAGCAACGAGCCGGGATTCTACCATGATAACCAGTTTGGGATTAGAATCGAGGTGAGGACAAGGGACAAGGGATTGCAGGGCATGAGGGGATGGGTTGGTGGTACGTGCGTGTGTGGTACTGACAGGCGGGGATGGTTGTGAGCAACGAGCCAGGGTTCTATCATGATAACCAGTTCGGGATTAGAATTGAGGTGAGGGGGATGGGAGTGGGACAAGGGGTGGAATGTGTGGGGGGGTTTGGTTGGTGAGGGAGCATGTGAGGAAAGGGTGGGAGGGTACGTGCATGGTACTTGCAAGAAGGCATGGTTGTGAGCAACGAGCCGGGATTCTACCATGATAACCAGTTTGGGATCAGGATTGAGGTGCGCAGAATTGGAGTTGCATGGGGTGCGTTGGTTGAGGGCGTGAGGGGGTGGGGGAGTGGGGGGGTTGAGGGGCCATTTGAGTGGAGGGTGGGTGGTACTGGCAAGCGTGCATGGTTGTGAGCAACGAGCCGGGATTCTACCACGATAACCAGGTCTGGATTAGAATCGATGTGAGGGGGAGGAGGGGGTGGGGGGGCCAGGGCATGGAATGGTGAGGGTCCATGTGAGGAGCGGGCGTGTGGGTATGTGGTACTGGCTGGTTGGCAGGCAGGCTGGCATGGTCCTGAGCATCACACATGCGCACACACTCTGACTTCTCCCCCCTTGCCGCACCTTCCATCTATACCATACCACACATCCCACTTCCTCATTTTCCTTCCGCCCCGCCCTGTCTCGCCACCTTCCCAGAACCTTCTTGTGGTGAGGGAGCAGCAGACGCAGTTCCGATTTGGTGGCACAACGTATCTGGGATTCGAGTGCCTCACGCTCTTTCCAATCCAGGTACCTCTCTTCCTCCTCCCTCTACCTTCCCCTCTCCTATCTGGTTCCGTAATCTGGAGTTTAGGTTCCTTTCTTTTAATTATCTGGCAGTTGAGTGCGGTCCATCTGATTGCCGTGCATCTGAGTCGTGATGACATGGAATTGGTCTTCCCAACCATCTCACAAAACGTGAGGCGCCTCAAAACTCAAAAGCTGATGCACCAGCTGGCTCTGAACGGTCATAGCAGCCAGGTTACACATCACGTACGTACCCCCTTCATCCCTCCCGTTTCATCCCTCCCGTTTCATCCCTCCCATTTCATCCCTCCCGTTTCATCCCTCCCATTTCATCCCTCCCGTTTCATCCCTCCCATTTCATCCCTCCCGTTTCATCCCTCCCATTTCATCCCTCCCGTTTCATCCCTCCCATTTCATCCCTCCCGTTTCATCCCTCCCATTTCATCCCTCCCGTTTCATCCCTCCCGTTTCATCCCTCCCGTTTCATCCCTCCCGTTTCATCCCTCCCGTTTCATCCCTCCCGTTTCATCCCTCCCGTTTCATCCCTCCCGTTTCATCCCTCCCGTTTCATCCCACCCCATCCCCACGGCCTCAGAAAAAGCTAGTGAGTGTGGAGCTATTGAGCAACGCAGCGGTCTAATGGATCAACGACTACCAAGTCGACTCACATGCTCCCTTCACCCCCCTCCCCCCTCCCCTTCCCATGGCCGCAGACGAAGCTAGTGAGTGTGGAGCTGCTGAGCAACGCAGAGGTGAAGTGGATTAACGACTATCACCAGCGCGTGTGGGACACTGTGAGTGTGGGATGCTGGGAGTGTGGGGTGCTGTGAGTGTGGGGTGCTGGGAATGTGGGATGCTGGGAGTGTGGGGTGCTGTGAGTGTGGGATGCTGGGAATGTGGGATGCTGGGAGTGTGGGGTGCTGTGCGTGTGGGTGGCACACCAAGTGTGGAACACTGAGTGTGGGTGGGGCACTGAGTGGGAGTGAGGTGAGCGCACAGCAGCTTGAATCACCTCACCCAACCAAGCAGTATGCATCTACCTCAGTGTGGCAACCAAGCAGTATGCATCTACCTCAGTGTGGCAACCACATCCATCAGAAGCTCCCGTGCACTGCTGTGGTGATCAGGCGCCTCAACTCACCTCATCACCTCCACTTTTTCCCTGGCCCCATCGACTCCAGGTCTCCCCTTTGCTATCAGGGGCACCCCTGCAGTGGTTACAGCGCAACACTCAGCCCATCTCGCGAAACCAGGCCCCACAGAAACCTGCAGCGGCTAGAGGGGCAAAAGCAGGAGCCAAAGGAGGAGCTAAGGCAGCAGCCAAGGCGGCTGCAGCCAGCTAACTGCAGCCCATAGGTGTAGGCTATTCTTGCACAAGAGGGTGTACAACAAATGCCTGTGTTGTTCCAGCTACCAGAACTTGTGCAGATATTTTAAAAGTCTCAGTACCACTTCAAGCTCAAATGCAGTTGCTCTTGTGAATTCTACGGTACCGTAAAGCTGTAAACCAGTGTTTTTTAGCTGATTTCCGGGGTGGGGGCCTGACCACAGCATCCCATCCAGCCACACCTTGTGGGGGTGGGGGCCTGACCACAGCACCCCATCCAGCCACACCTTGTGGTTGGCGCCCCTGGCTCCTTGACCAGCAACAAAGCTCGCAGCTGCTGCAGCAGTTGGAGTACAAACGTTCTGACATGTCTGATATCGGTAAGCTGGGAAGAGAATTCACTGCAAAGGAGCTTCAGGAGGATGTGAGGGCACGGTTGAAATGGACTGTGATACCCAGCAGTAGCATCTGTCACAGCTCCTTTCTGCTCGACAGTCACCAGTACGGGCAAGAGACCGTGGTAAAAGGGTCAAAGAGTTTCATAATATATCAATGTACACGAGTATCGACTTCGATACCTAGTATACAAGGGAAGCTCTACAAAATCAGCCCACCAAATCAAAGCCAACCGATTTTTCTGGGAGGGTGCGCGCGTCTAGTTGAGGGGCTCCATGGGGAAGTCCTCGATGGGGCTCAGCTGCTTGGCGCGGTGGTACTCCGTTTGCGCGCAGTCCACGGACAGCACGGAGCTCGACTCGTACAGCCGGGGAGTGCCGTCAAGGAACCCAGCGCCCTCCTGGCTGTCGGCTGAGATCGGACGGTGCAGGTTCGCGATCAGGCGCTGGAAGTCGGCGGCGCGAGCGGCGTGGTCGGGGCGGTACGTTTGGCCGAGCACGCCGTGCACGTCGTCGGTGTGCTCCAGCTCCACAATCCCCACGTTGATGTGCGCCTCGGCCTCGCTGGGCGTCTGCAGCTTGGGGTTGGCCACGCGCAGGCGCAGGTCGAGCGCCACGAGCCCGTCGATGGTGAGCGTGTAGTAGTCCACGTCATACGGGCCCTCCTTCTCCAGCGCCGCGAATCGCAGAGTCAGCCCGCCCTCGGTCGTCACCTCGTCGCCCACGTGCATCCTCGGGATCTCCTCGCCGTCGATCTCGATCGTCTTCATGAACCCATCACCACGCTCCTGCTGCTTGCCAGAGCGCGCCGCGAGCCGCACCTTGTGGTCGGCGCCGTTGGCGAACCAGATGATGCCGAGCTCCTTGATCCACGTGTGCACGGCCTTGCCGTCCACAACGAGCGCCGCGTTCTCCGTGTCGTCCGAGTAGTACCCGCGCAGCAGCATGTTCACGTGCAGGTCCTTGTCCGTCAGCAGGCAGAAAGCCTTATCGGGGCGCCCGTTGAAGTCGAAGTGCGTGCCGTACGCGCCCACCAGATGCGGGTCGTTCACCACGTTCGCCGCGGGGTTGCACTCGCCGCCCGTGCGCACCTGCAGATGAACCGGCTTCGAGTCTGTGGCATACTGCGCCGTCATGTCGCCGCACGAGTAGTCGATGTTGTCGTGCACCAGGTAGCACGCGCCGTCCGTCTTCTTGCCGTCGATCGTGATGTCGGGGATGTACTGCCAGTACGTGCAGCTGCTGTACCCCGCGCACGTGTTGCAGCACGTCTGCGGGGACGCCTTCTTCAGCGTCAGCGGGTTGCCCTTCACGTACACCTCCACGCCCAGCTTGTTCTTCAGCAGGTTCGACGTCTTCCACTTGGCGGCGATGCCGCCCTTGCTGCAGTTGGCCGGCGTGCACGCGCCCTCCCCGGGCTTGCCCAGGTCCTTGTGGCACTTCATTTTGTTCCATCCCGCAACCTTCACGTCCACCATCAGAATACTGTCTGTGCTCGGGCTCACGATCGTCGTCCCCTCGAACTTGTCCAGCCCGCCGGCGGCCGCCGCCTTCTCGATGCCAGGAGGGACCTCGGTTGCCACGCCATTGTCGCCCTTGGCCTTGTCCAGGTTGACCGCAGGGTTGTTGGGTCCAGTCACGACGGTTTGTCCTGCGGACGCCACCGCCAGCAGCACGGCGAATGTTGCGACTAAAAGTAGACGCGCCATGGTTTGAGGCCAATGTCTGTATGGAGCAACAAAATTGTACTACTTCTAGTGAGTTGGTGCGTAAATATGTGTTGGAATGCTCTGGGATGGAGTTGGGATTGCTGTGCTGACTACTTGAATTTCTAGTGATGTTGCCTTCGCTGTTTGTACTTCACGTACCCACCCACCACCAAAACCTAGGCGGTCCCCAGTCCCGCTAGATCTGCTTCGCGGTTTGCTTTCAGGTGTCAGGATTTGTTACGAGGCGCGACCACATGGGTTCAGCGAACTGCGACCGCAGGTTGTTACTCAGGAGAGGTTTTCTTATTCCAACCATTTCGGATATGACCTGGATGGAGCTGTTGCGACCGTTTGAAGATTCTGGGCTTCACCAGATGACAATTCAGGTTGCTTCTTTATATGTCCGGTTTTCTTCGATTCGCAGGCTTCAGGCCTGTAAGAGAGTTTCCGCCGCCCCTGTCCCCTTTCATCCTCTTTCTTCCGTCCATCCCTTCTCCCCGCCTTCTGCTTTCTCCGAACCCCATTAGCAGTCGCTGCTCAACAGTGCAGAAGAAACCACAATACAGTCGTGCCTTTGACCTTGGTAATTATAGAACATTCGATTTATTGAAATTCTTGCCAACATCTTAAATCGTGTTCCGTGTCTGAACTCGTCAGCAACCCGGCAAATCAACGTATGCCCTAGTTCGTCCATCCTTTTTCTGTTGCCATAAAACAATTCAGAATTAGTGCCGCACAGTTCAGGATTAGTGCATGGCTCGCTTGCAGAGCATTCCGGGCTCAAGCGTTAAGGAATCAAAGGCCTCTGCATGGAAATCAGGGGCTGGTGCAGGGAGACAGAGGCGAGATGCTGTGTTGTCAAGAGCTCAAGAGATAAAGGTGCGAGCGAATGCAGAGCAATCGTTGAATGCCGGTACCAAAAACGATTGTAACGGTAAGGCACCATACGTTGGGGTGCTGTTGCTGAGGTTTGGAATTACCAAGGCGCAGTGCTGTGGCACGGGCTATCAGCCAAGGCGTGTGCCTCAGGCACCTTCACTTCTCACAGTGGTAACAACCATAGCAGCTGTAACAACCGTTGTACCTTGCATCTCTCGTAATCATAACAACTACAGCATCTGCAACAACAATATCAGTGCCTGATAGGTGGTGAAGGTGCAATGGTTGTTGCGGCTGCTATGGTGTGCTGTGCACAGTGCACCCTACGTTCAGCAGAGAAAGTTGCAGGCACAGCAGCAGAGAGGGCAACAGGAGGGCAGCAGAGCGAGTGGCAGGGGGCTTCAGTCCTCAAGACACTACCCTGACCCTCTCATACTGTTGCTGCTCCCTTTTCCGAGCCTCCTCCGCAGCCTCGGCCCGGGCCTTGTCCCGGTCGTGAGGGTACGTCCAGTAGAGCCCCCCGTAGAGGACACAGCAGAGAGCAAAGGGCAGAGCCATGGTCCAGAACAGCCCTAGAGAGAGCGCCCTGGCGTTCCCCGGATCAGCCGCAGATGGAGCGGGCGGAGCAAGAGGAGGAGTGGCAGGGGAAGCAGGAGGGGAAGGGGCAGGAGCGGCGGCAGGTGGGGTGGGGGACGGGGAGGAGGGGTGGAAGCCGAAGCAGGCCTGGGCGAGGAAGCCGACAGTGGGCGGGGCGAAGGCTGCCACAGACATCTCACATGCACGGTCCAGTGCGTAGATGTCTGTTCGCAGGCGCGCCGGCACTATGGCCGCGAATATGGGGCTGTAGGTGGGTGTTTAGAGGGGACGGGGGAGTTGGGGAGTGACTTGGAGTTGATTGGAAGGCAGCCAGTGACATCTCACACGCGCGGTCGAGAGCGTAGATGTCTGTTCGCAGGCGCGCCAGCACTATGGCCGCGAATATGGGACTGCGGACGAGTGGGAGGGAGGGTTGGTGGAGGTTGTGGAGGAGGGGGAGGGAGTGGGTGCGTGTGGGAGGGTGAGTGCAAATGGGGACAAGAGGAAAACTTTGTATGCATCTAGGCCTGCAAAGGGGAACAAGAGGAAGGAGCGTTGGCGGAGAAGGGAGGTCGGAGGAAGAGTTGACTTTTGAGTCGACTCCAAAGTCAACAAGAGGAAGGCGCGTTGGCGGAGAAGGGAGGTCGGAGGAAGAGTTGACTTTTGAGTCGACTCCAAAGTCAACAAGAGGAAGGCGCGTTGACGGAGAAGGGAGGTCGGAGGAAGAGTTGACTTTTGAGTCGACTCCAAAGTCAACAAGAGGAAGGCGCGTTGGCGGAGAAGGGAGGTCCGAGGAAGAGGGAGAGAGCGACGATGGCTAAGGGGAAGGGTAACACTGAGAAAGGAATGATGCATTGTCTTTCACCCATCTCAGTACTACCCCATCCTGGCTCATGACAACCTTTCGTATGCCTTTCGTATATGAAGCACTATTGACTTGTACACTGCACTCACTTGTTCGATGCCGCGTCGTTCCACGAGATCATAAACCCCATCACCACCAGCACCGCAAAATACACCCAGAAAAACCGGGCGTCCTGCGGAACCACCCTCAGCAGCACCGTCGACATCACCACCGCCGATCCGGCGCTGATCTGAGCGCAGATCACACGGCCAGAATCGCGCCACGTGGCGTTCATCCAATCGCCGAACCAGCCCGCGAAAAGCCCCCCAAAACTGCAACTAGCAGTGAAAGACGAGAGGAGGAGTGCGGTGGAGGGGTGGGAGAACCCTACTAGCTCGAGCCACATGGGAAGGAAGGTTAGAGAGGCCCAAGCAAAGGAGCCTACTATGCCTTGACTGACTATGATGAGGAACGAGGGCGTGCGGAGCACGTGTAGGAGGTTTGAGAGGAAGGAAGGGGAGGAGGGAGGAGGAGGGTGGGGTGAGGTGAGTGGGAGAGACGAGTGGGGAGATGAGAGGGGAGACGAGGGAGGTGGAGCGGAGGAGTGGGCCTGTTTGGAGGAGAGATGGGAGGATGGGGAGGGTTGATGAGCCAGCTCCCTGATAGAGGCAGATAGGAGGGAGGTTGATGTGGGGGAGGTGCAACTGCTGGGGGAGGTGGCATGTGAGTGGTGAAGCAGGGGGTGTGTGGGTGAAGACAAGGGGTTGCTATCACCAGCACGTGAACCGGGCAGCGATTCCCCGTCCGCATTAACAAGCGAGCTTGACACATCCTCGTTATAGAGCTCTTCTTTGCTACAAGATTGCCTCGGAGGGTCTTCAGCGAGAAGGGAGATTAGTGCAGCTAGTATTAGGCTTATGGCAGCAATTGTAAGGAAAGCCAACCGCCACCCTTCCATCCCAAAGCCAATTAACCAGATAATTGTTCGGGCAGGTAACCCTGCTAGGGTAATTCCGATGCTGTACCCCAGAATATCCCCGAAGTAAGTCATGAACTGCAACCACCCGAACGCCATGCCGCGGTTGGTCGGAGACGCCAGGTCAGCAACGAGTGACTGGATCGGGGGGAAGACCAGGGCGAGGCCGATGCCGTTGATCCCGCGCAGCCATGCCACCTGGCTGTATGACGTGGCGAGGCCCACTGCTAGCGTGGCAAGGCCCCAGATGAGCGCGCCCGTGGCGATGACGTGGACGCGGGGCAGGTAGAGGGAGAGCCATGGTGCGAGTGGGCAGAGCAGTGCTTGCATGAGCGCTCGGACGAGGGTTAGCGCGCCCAGGTCCCTGGGGGATGCATTAAATGCGCGCCCCACCTGCGAAAGGGGGAGGGAACGCAAGGAGCAGAGCAGCTGTGCTTTCATGTGGTGAGAGGGCAGAGCAGCTGTACTTTCATGTGGTGAGAGGGCAGAGCAGCGCCTGCATGAGTACGCGCACTAGGGTTAGTGCGCCCAGATCCCTGGAGTATGCATTGAAGGCGCGTCCCACCTGTGCAAGGGGGGAGGGGGGAATGGGGGGAGGGGAGAAAGGCGAATGAAGAGCAGCGGAGGGCAGAGAAGTGCTTGCATGAATGCGCGGACGAGGGTTTGCGCGCCCAGGTCCCTGGGGGGGGTGTGGAAGGCGCGCCCCACCTGCGAAGGGGGGAGGGGGGAATGGGGGGAGGAAGGAATTGAGTGCGGAGGGAGGGATGTGAAGGGATAAGAAGAGTTTGGAGGGATACAAAGGGATGCGGAAGAAAGAGAAGGGAGATAGAGGATTCTGAAGGATAAATGAGGAGTGGGTTGGGACGAGAAGAGGATGAGCGGGGAGGCTCCGAAGGGGGCTGCGAGGGGGCCTCCAACGGGGGCTGATACGAAAGCTTCAGATTTGAGTTCGAAGCATCAGAATCTCTAGGGATTTGAAAATTCCGAATTCGATGTTACGACGTTGCGACACTCAGCGAGAGGTAGACGCGTCATCGTGCATGGTGGAGAACGGCGAGCCATTGTGTCGCTACTAACGACGCGAAGTTCTAGAAGAGACTACCTCGTTGTACACGGCCGGCAGCAGTGACTTGTTGCGTTACTAGCAACTCTTTACTAGCAACGCGACGTTCTATGAGAGGAAATCACGGTATGCTATATACCTCGTTGTACACGGCCGGCAGCAGCGACTCGTCAGCCCTCTCCACGATCGCGGCGACGTTGACGAGGACGAGCGTGCGCAGTCGCACGTCGCTCCACCATCGCGCGCTCATGCTCTCTCACTCCTCCTGTCAAGCTAAACAGTTGGCTAGGCTGCGGTTACTCTCCCGGACATATCATGATGACTCCGAGTGAATCTAGACGGGTCGCTCTTTAGGGTGCTAACACCACATCCGTATCATAGTATTTCCCTATGCTGCCTGCCTAAGTATGGCCTACACGCGAACGACGCGAGGCGCAGGACAGAGTTTAGGCCTGCGAAAGATCTGCAGGAGCGTGCGAATGTGTCGAAATGTCTGTTGGATTTCCCCAAATTTCACTACATGCAGTTTCGAAATAAGTAAAAACGTAACACTTTCACATTTTATTCCACACTATTGCTTTCGCAATAGTATATAGATTTCTACAAGCAAAGCTTCACCGAACTGCCGTGTTTCCCGCTAGTCCCTCCCCATCTGCCGGAGCGCCAACTCGTTCGCACGGATGCTTTCTTGCACCAATCGCAGCAGCTCCTTCGAGCTCCGCCCGGCCAGTAAGTCCACCGAGTCGCACGCCATCGCAGCGGGCGAGAACGACACAGGCGACCCCTGCGACGCCGGCGAAGCCGCAGAAGGTCCACCTGTCCACCTGCGCGACGTCGCCTCGCTGCTCACCTCAGCCGGGCTCCCTCCGAATCCCGAACCCCACCGCTTACGGCTGTCGCTCAGAGCATTCAGCTCTTTTAATTGGCGCAACATAAGCGCGCGCGTCTGGGACGGCGCAGGCATTGTCCGTGGGTGTACAGCGCAAGCTTTGGCCGCGATCGGTGCCGCCATTGCAGCCTTCGTGAACTCCGAAAGCATTTGCGAAAACGCCGTCGTGTCGGGAATCGACGATGCAGGTTGAAGCTTTGGTTGGATCAACGGCACAGCGACCGCGACTCCTGGGCTCGAGGCTCGCACAACCCTCTCGATCAGCTCAAGCTGGTTCGGATCAATTGGCGGGCAGACGACGCTCGTCGTCACCTGTGACGTGTCCTGTCGCGAATTACGCAGCGATTCTTTGTCCGTTTGCCGATCATCACGTGCCACGGGTACTAGATATGCGCGTGTAGCTTCCACGCTTGTCGAGATCGTCGCGGCGCTCGAGCCCTGCCTCTCAAGCGTCATGTGCGCTGCACTTGTACCAGCGATAGCTTTACTTGATACCCCCACCACATTTTCCGTTGGTCCTCGACCGTTGGGCCTTTCTCCGCCATCCGAAGTCGCCGCGTTGCATTCGCCTCGTTCTCCGTCGCTTCGCGCGGCGCACTCGGGCCAGATCACATCAAGCAGCCGGTTCGTCTCCTCGTCGAAATCGCCCAATTCCCCCAAATCGGCCAAGTCGGCTAAAGCGGTCGTGTCATTGCGCGACTGAAAGTCGTCTGACGGCGCAATCCCACGAAGCACATCGTTTCCAAAAGCTGTATTAGGACCACCGACCGCACGCGAGCTCTGGCTTTGGCTAGGGCTGGTCGGCCCGGGCCTCCGGATCTTACTGAAAACGGGTGCACAAATACCGCGGACGGTAGCTTCGTTGCGCGCGACAGGGTTGGAGTTTGTTAGCTCGTCCAATGCCGCCATCACGTCAGCGGGCATCCGAAGACGGTCAGCATGGCAAAACGCGTCGAGATGGTCGCCGGGAAAAGTTCCTACTCGCTGGCGTTTCGTTTCTGAATTAACCATGTCGAGTCGCTGGCGCTTCGACTGAAAGAAGGGGGTGGCTGGGCACGGGAAGAAGCGCGGCGCGGAGAGAGGCGCGACGTCGACGGAGCTCGACGCGTAGGAGATGGAGTCGTTGGCGGGAAGTAGGCCTGATGCTCCCTGCGTGTCGTTAGAGAAGGCGGGAAATGACGAGACGTTCCAGAGCGGCATTGCGCCTCTGAGTGGCGTGATGATATGATGTATAGTCGATAGCTCAAGCAGTCTGCGAGGAGTTCGCGTTGTGACTGAAGGAAAGCATAGCATTTACGAGTGAGAAGCTGCTCTGGTCACTGGTGGTTTGTGGAGCGCTTTTGTATGAGTATAAGCTGAACGGCAGTCGAGTGTGAGTGTGAGCTCATGGCAGCTGTGTCTGGAAAAGTTGACGCGTCGGCCAGGGTGGAGTGGAAGGAGGGAGGGAGTTTTCGCAGCAAAGCGACAGCTGCACATGGCGAGATTCACCGCTGGCGAAATCTCCGACCCTTCTCAAGATCAAACATGTGACATCCTCGTTGTTGCCTTCGATCGATGTGACGTGAAACTCCGTATAAAATCAGAAATTCACTTGCAGCGTTTCAAAGCATCCCTGCAATGTCATGCTTTTGTCTCGGTGCGGGCTGCTTCCTGACTGGCTTCGCTGGTCTCAGCAGCCCTGTGACGCTCGCTCACGAGTGTGTGACTTTAACGAGCGTGAGCGTGTGTGTACCTGGCCCTGCTTAGCTGCGAAGGTTACAGGTGATGACGAAAGCAGCTGTGGTAAGAGTCCAAAGGTCGAAGGGGCTTCCTGGGCCTGCACCAACGACTCTGGGCAGCAATACATTCACTTGCAGCCAAACCTGGATGCAGGTTCGGGTTGTACACGTGTTCGAGATCAGCGTCGTTCTGTTGTTGAGAACGTGGAGATGAAACGGGACAGTGGACAAGGTTTTGGTACAGCTGGAAGAAATGCAACGTCATAGCTGGAGACCAGATGGATGGGACCATTCGGGTAGGACCTGCAACTGGATTCTGTTTGGGAGATTTCAACTATGTCATTCGAGATGTCACTTGACATACTCGTTCGCTGTCTCGCAGCCTGCGAACGAAGCGAATCTGCCCACATGGTGGGGAGGAGCAGATCATCACCGAAGCACATGGATGCAATGTGAGCACCTTGTGTGAACAGTGGCACGCGGTGGAGAGCACATGCGGGTGAGAAGAGACAAGCCATGAGAATCGACACAAGGGTAAAATGATCCGCTACAAATGCATTCGTAAAAGATTCCTTACTACATGGTTTGACAACTGACAGAAAATAAAGGCTTATGGAAAAGACATGCACTCTAAGTTTTGGTGGCTTGCTGCTTATGTATTTTACTTTCAACGTTATGATACAATATGGAAGATCAATAAATGATGACATAATGAGGCAGTTCTGTGATCAAATACCAGAATAAGATAGTATTATCTTACCGGTACAACATAAAACGGGCCGTGGTCTCGTCCATTTTCCCGTTTTTGCGCCTTTCCCCTAGTTAGCTATCCTACGTCGTAGTGTGTTCGTATAAAGACGCAAAGCAGGACCACCTGAGCACCAAGCACACGGAGGAATTCGGATGTGCAGTACCGTCATCATAGCCTCGTCGTCGTGCGGTCGGCAGTGTGCGATACAAGTTTAGTAACAGAACCATGGCGGGACCGCATTCGCGGGCCAGTAGCTCCCCGTTCGCGACACACCAGCGCTCCTTCCTTCTCCACTCAACCACGCAGACTCGCCTCGCGATCATCGCCGCGCTGCTAGTCGTCTCCTTCTTTCTCGTCCTCCCTCAATCCACTCGCGAGCTTCTTTTTCACACCGGCACCTCACCAGAATCCCTCTCCCCTTCCGCGTTTCCGGGTCGCGAGGCTCCAAATGCCACGCCAGCCATGAATTTCCACGAGGACGCTGACGTGGAGCACGTCACCCGGTCGCCTCTGGTCCCGCTGACGGTGCTTGCTGACCTGGATGATGACGGGGCAGTGTGCTTAGATGGCTCGCCGCCGGCCATCCATCTCTCCCCCGGATGGGGTCGCGGTGCGAACAACTGGCTGATATATCTCGAGGTAGGACGCACCGAGTCAACGCAGGTCAACGCAGGTCAAACGCTATCAATGCAGGTCAACGCAGGTCAAACGCTATCAATGCAGGTCAACGCAGGTCAAACGCTATCAATGCAGGTCAATTAATATCATTGCTCGTCCACGTCATTGTCCACCCTCAATGCCGTCACGTGCATGTATTGCTACAGAGCAGAGGGTCTTCTTGAGCCGTCACAGCATGTGCCAATGTGGCATTCACTTGCTATTGTCACATGCGTGTATTGTGACAGGGCGGGGGGTGGTGTAACAGCGAGGAGGAGTGTGCGCATCGCGCCGCCACCCATCTGGGCTCGTCCAAGCGCATGGGGGGACTCATGGCCTTCGGAGGCATTCTCTCTCATGACCCCACAGTCAACCCTGGTGCGTTGAAGGTCAATCCTGGTGCGTTGAAAGTCAACCCTGGTGCGTTGAAAGTCAACCCTGGTGCGTTGAGAGTCAACCCTGGTGCGTTGAAAGTCAACCCTGGTGCGTTGAAAGTCAACCCTGGTGCGTTGAATGTAGACCCTGATGCGGCGTCTAAATCGTCTTGAAGGCACCCATCTTGTTTCGTCCAAGCGCTTGGGGGGACTCATGGCCTTGGGGAGGATCCCCCCTCATAGCATGACTCCACATTCAACCCCGGTGCGTTGAAAGTCAAGGGTTGACTGTAGAGTGCAAAACGAATCAATGCTGGTGCGCTCAATAGAAGTCATCCTGGGGGTGATTTGGCGAGGCGAGTATGATGCACTGGCGAGGTATCACAATCGAAGTGTATGATGCACTGGACTAGAACCGAGCCACAATCATTCTTCCACACCCCGCACCACACCAAGATGTTGTTCCTGTTTAAGCAGCAGGAATGCCCAGGCACAGGTATTTTACCCTTTACACTATTGCTCTTCCTCTTGCTCTTCTTCCATTGCCCCTCCTCCATTGTCCCTCTGCCATTGCTCCTCCGCCATTCCATCTTCCTCTCCTCCACTTTTCAACAGGCTTCTACAATTGGAACCTGGTCTTCGTTCGTTATTGTGACGGTGCCTCATACCTGGGTGACACAAACGAGCCAGTCCAGACAAACAATGGTCTCGTCTTTTTCCGGGGGAGGCGCATCTTCGACGCCGTAACCCGGTACCTCGTGTCCCACCACGGCATGGGGGCGGCATCCCTTGTTTTATTATCCGGCTGCTCTGCTGGCGGTCTCGCATCCTTGCAGCACTGTGATAGGCTGGCGGAGATTC